GAGGACAACCAAAAGTTTGTAAGTCGCACACATGAACTTCCACAACACAGGGTGAGACCAGTCTGTCACACCATGATGCAGAGTAGAACAGACACAACCTTCTGCCTTCTGCATACCCTGCTGGGATCTGCTACAAATCTGCAGTCCAGTATTCCTGGCAGTGACACTGCCCACGGGCAGGTCAAACCCCACCTTAGAGGCATGCAAGAGATATCCCTGCAGGAGCCTTTCAAGCACAGACCTCCTGCTTTGCAAAGATTTCTCTGGGGATGCCCATGTCTGACTCATCCTTTGCAATACATTTCCCTTTCCTCCAAATGCAGACTGGGACTTCAGCTATGCTATGAAACTTTTTGTTTGTTTTATATTTGAAAAGCCTTTTGTAGGAATTTGATTCTCCTAGAATCATGGAAAGTTGCACACCCTAATGCTGCATAAGACAACCTTCAATTATCTCCTGAGACCAGATTTTCTAATGTCTTTTCACATCAACTTTAGGTCACAGCCATCTACATTTCTTCAGAAAATCGCCCTTCTTCATAACAGGAGAACGTATTGCGGATCACTCTTGAATGCATCTTGCCTTGGTTTGCAACAAACTGAGGTACTTTCAACTAGTCACCGTCTCAAGTAATGCGCTTGCAGTTGACAGAAATAAAGCAATGAGACCAGGAACTATCCAAAGGTACAGTTATCTTGCTTGGAATGATCCTTGGAATGATACACTGTTGGAAAATGACGTTACCAATGCTGCACCAGGCCCTATTCACTCAGTGTATTCAATGAAAGCATAAGAGTCCATCTGGGCACAGCTCATTGCAGAAACACCACCAAGTATAAGCTGGATCCTATGATCAAGTTTAATTAGAATCACTGGGACTTAGCAAAGGTGTACAAATCAATCATGTTGATCCACTTGTAGGCTCACAGCCTTAATGTAAAGACATAAAGCACGGTTATTACTTCAAATAATCCAAGTTGATCTCCTTTAGAGAAATGAGGTCTGATCTTACAGCTGGTTCTGCACAGGTAGGGCTTTCCTCTCCACAAGGTTCCAGAGACGTTAACTGGCATACAGTAATTTTTCCTTGTAAGAGAAGGATGGAAAAGAAAAACAGGAAGCAATAACAGGAATGAACCTCCTTACCCTGGAGCACTCTTTTCTCACTGACTTCAAGTCTTCCCAAAGTCCAGAATTAATAAAACAGATAGTAAGATAAAGTTTTTTGCACTCCACTCCTCGTAACATCTGCCTACTTGGCTGGGTGATTATTTTATGCCTACACGTAGCCCTGGGTAATAGTATGTAAACATAGAAGACAAATTTTAAGTAGAACGTGTGCAGCAATTACTAGGAGGGTTATGATTACATCACGGAAATCCACTCAAAAGTTGTAAGATTAGCTGTGTAATTAAAAGAGTAATGAATAGTTTAAGAATACACAAAATTTGCAAGCAGCATGAGAGCTAAATAAACTTACGTAGTCATTTCAGTTTTCTGTTTATGACATGTCATCAACTTGTGCTCATCACTGTCAGTGGTTCATCAGTAAGAGCCTCAGAGCGCTTTCATGCTCTCTCAGGAGCCTTTTCTTACATGGAATTCCCTTTGAGAAATCTGAGTGAAAGGCAGGGAATTAACATCTTAGAAATACTATGGAAGAAGTGAGTTTTCAAAAAAGGAAAATTATCCACACTTTTGACTTTTTTTTTTCAAATTTTTTATTTTCTCCTTTTGGCATTTTCTTTAATAAACACCAGTAAGTTGTTGGTCTAAAAAAGATTATTATAATAATTTATTTTTTAACTCAAAGTTTAACATGACCTAGACATATTTATTTCTAAATCTATGGTGAGATGTATTATTGGAAGCTTTACAAAACAAATTATTGTCAAATTTTTGACAAATATTGACAAATATTGTCACCATTTTTTAAGAAGCAAGATGGAAAGTACTGTTCTTTATTAATATCCTACTTTTTTCAACATCTCCAGGCTGAAGTAAGCAAACAAAGAAGGCAAAGATGTATACATTCTCCCATCTCTTTTTTTCTGTGCCTTATAGTTCCAGGATTTCATAAGATTTTCAAAGGACCCAACCTAGACAAGAGTACAGTTCCACAAGTGTAATACCGCTATGTCTGGAAGTCAGGGACAAAAAATGGCTGCATTATTAAAAATCTGTTTGGTGGTATTGGGTTTTTCTTAAACTAATGTTAGGGCTACACTACTTTTACATAGTTTTTTCTTTATTCCTAAGTGAAAGAATTTAAATACTATCCCAAAGTAGACTTGAACTGTGAATTTTAGCATTACTACTTTGTGAGACAAGGATTTCCTTTAACAGGTATTAATATTACTTGCAAAATTAAATAACCTTTACCCCACCCCATTAAAAAAGGCCCGTAATTCCTAGAGTTCATTCTGGGCCTAAAAAGGTGGTGGCCTGGCCTAGAATTGCTCTGCCCCCACTCATCTACTAACAGTATCTGCAGAATTGTATCTGATTTCTTCCTTCCCAAGAGTTCCATTTAACCCATACCCAAGCACGTCTCTACATTGTTGTCCCTCTAGACTTACATCACTAATTTAAACAAGCAAAATTAACCAGAAGCTTAAATTAAAAATTACTTTTTTCCTGGTAGAGTTTTGCGAGTAGTAAGTACAATAATATAATTAACTCCTATCTGGTGTTCTTCACATCTCACTCCTCATTTCTATATGCAACACCAAGTGAAAACAAATTCTTCCTTAGATGGTATATTGGACTAGTTAGAACTATTCTAAAAAATACTTTACATTTTGCTTACAGTACCCTGCACATTCCCCCAAGAGTTCTGTACTATGCTCAAGGGCTCACAAGGTGTGTTTTGCACAAGGAACACTGAAGTCTCAGCTATTCACTTTTCCAGATCTTTGGGACAAAGACTTTAATAACAAAACCTGAAGGAAAGGAACAATTAAAGGCCTCAGTCAGTTGTATTGGCGTCCCTTTCATTCAGTTTGTTTTTCCAGTATGCTAATTGAGTGCAGGAATGAGCTAACATAATAAGGGCTGAAGAAATAGCATTCAGATATTTTAAGGCACGGGCTGAACTCAGGATTCCATATAATGCTAAATTCTTGGACTTACATACTTGACTGCCTTCTGTTTTGGGACTCACTCAAAACGTTCCCTCTTGCTCAGTAATTCACTGTCACAGTACTTAAATGCAGAGCTACAGTTGTCCACAGCTGCCTTGTGCTTTCCAGACTCTGAAGGAAGAATGATTAAGTATCAGAGATTCAGCTAAACCAATGTTGTTTTATCACCAGTTTCTCTTTTGATTCCTGTGCCACTACACCTCCATCAAAGAATCTAGGACTTTGTCTTTCCAAGTTGCATAAATAGCATCAGGAAAACAAAAAAAGATTACAGGCCTTGTCTTGAGAGGGTTAATAATATATTCTAGGCTACACTCAATAGGCAGGCTGGGTTAAGCATGAACCAAAGTCAGCTGCCTGTGTTTAGAAACAATCTCAAGCTTCACTACCTTTGATGATGCCCACTCATATATCTGTGAATTTTCTTTGGGGCACAATCTGTGTTTCCCTCTGACCATGCCTTATAAAATATGTGTGCAAGCACATTGATCCTCCTTTGCAATGGGAGCAGGCCAGGAGATGAGCTGTAGTAATGGATCACATACACACTGACAAGTGTACCAAGACACTTTTAACCCAGTCATTTCTGTGATTAATTCTTTATATCCTGCACCATCTATTCTCCAAACGAGTTCAAATGAAGTTTAAATACAGTCTGGAATCATTCTGTCAGGCTCAAAATGAGCAATTACTCTATAAATGGCCTTCCCCACCAAACCCCATCACCTTCTCCTGCCCAAAACCACACCATGCTCTACAAGTAAAGCCATTTCATGGCTTTTGACACATGACCACTAAAATAAGACTACTTCATACCACTGACACTGAAGCTGTGCTGGCACAAGTTTTAGTGGATAGTATTCTTTGTAGAATAGTGACTTTTAGACAACCAGCACGTAGTTTTCTTCCTGAGCCTGTAGATGCCTGGCTATGCAGAACAGAAGTTAAGCCACTGGCTTCATATGAACTAAGTGTGTAGATTTGTGTATGTGGAAGATTATGAACTATATGAAACAGCTACATAGATTTAAGTACGTGGAAAAGTGTCATTTCAGTAAAAATGTTCATTGATACTGTAGAACTGTCTTAGTATTGCTTTTATGTGAAATTACCTGTGTGAATAAGTTCATAAACTTCTGTACTGCAGCACAGTACTTCAGATTGTCAGGTTTGTTTGGTGCTCAACAGCGAAAGTATAAGCACCCTTAAAATGCTTCAAATTTGCTAGGATTAGTAGTGGTAATTTAATGTTTACTTCTCTCATTCCCTTTTTCCTCAAAAACCTCGAAACAAACCAACTCAACTTTAACTTGCAGTTCTAGAGCAAACAGACTACTATTGGCCTGTATCCATACAGACATACAGCAGCATAAACAGCACAACTGCTGATCCTTGCATGAGGTTGAATCTGCTGAAAATACCTCAGCTTACATGAGTTTATATGAGTTTGCACAGACTAAAAAAAAAAAAAAAAAAAAAAACCACGACAGCTATAATTGCTTCCACAGAGCATATTTGCATGAGTCCAATTATCCTAATGTAAGATCCAATATTAGGGTGGAATGAGAATGCACGTGTGTGGACTGGACAACAGAAAGCATATTTATGGACAGGTGCAAAAACCCAGCACTCGAGAGAGGCAGGAAGCTTAGAATAAATGGTCGTGTCACATGCTGCCACGAGGGAAGAGAAACCATTTCCTCCCAGGCACCCAAACTGCCTTTAAAGCTCTCAGCAGCTCATTACTCCGCAAATTGACTGAACAGCGCCAGCCCCCCAAAAACTCACCAAGCACCCCAAGTATAAACATTTAGCTCTTTAAACTATTAAAAACGGCATTAAGAGCCCCCACTCACCACAACCTCCTGGGCCACTGCTCCAGGTCCCCAGGGTGGCAGGTGGCTGCCCTCTCTCCGGGCGCTTGAGACAAGCGTGACCTCTCCTTCCTGAGCTACCTGCCTTCGCTAACCCACAAACCGAGGGCTTCATCTGCCTCCTGGGCCTAGGGGAGCCGAGCCCCTGCAGCCCCCAACACCAAGGATGTGCCACACGCAACCCCCACCACCTCCACCCCCGCCACCACCGGAGGAATTCACAGGATTTCCCAGCACTGGAGCTTAACGGATGGGGAATCGGCACGGGCGGAGTGTGGAAGGAGGGAGGGAGGCGGCGAGGCTGCGGAGGGTCAGGGGGCTGAGGGGTCTGAGGGGGCGGAGGGGCCGTGAGGGCTGAGGGGCCTCGCGCCGGGGGTGTCACGCGGGGGGGTCGCGCGGGGGTCGCGCGCAGCCCGCCGCCCGCGAGCGGGGCCGCTCTGCCTCCCCGCGCCGTCACGTGCCGGCGGGAGCCGCAAAGCAGCGGCGGCGTTTGCGACGGGGTGACAGCCAAATGGTGCGACACCGGCGGCGGCCGCAGGCGCAGCAGCCGCGGCGCTGCCAGGGCCGAGCGCCGCGCCCGGGCGGGGAGCGCACGGCGGGCACCGCGAACCGCCCCGCGAACCGCCCCGCACACCGCCCCGCACACCGCCGGGAACGCACCGCGGGCACAGCCCCGCGCCCCGCACACCGCTCCGCTCCGCCGGGAACGCACCGCGGGCAGAGCCCCGCACCCCGGACACCGCTCCGCTCCGCGGGCACCGCACCGCGCCCCCGCGCCCGGCGCGACCCCCATGAGAGCAGAGCGGGCGGCGGCCGCCCCCGCGCACCCCCGCCCGCCCGCCCGCCTGAGCACGGAGCGCTCCCCCGCCCCGATGCGCCCTTAGTCCCGGCCCCGGACCCGCCTCCCGCGCTCCCCTCCCCGCCGGCGGCGGCGGCAGCAGCGGCAGCAGCAGCGCCCAGGTGCGGACTTCAAACCCCGGCGCAATGGCGTCCAACGCGGCCGAGAGGGAGATCCTCTTCACTGAGATACAGGTAAGCGGCGAGGAGCGCCCCGGGGGCGCCGTCCCAGCCCTGCTCCCCTCCCTCCCTGCCGGGGAGCCCGCAGCAGCCGCCGCGCCCCGCCGCCCCCTGCCCGCTGCTCGGCGCGGGACGCCCCCCCCGCACCCACACCCAGCCCGGGCCGGGGGGGCGGCGGCGGAAGCCCGTGCCCACCCCAGGCCTCTTCCCGCCGCTCTCCCCCGGGAGCGGAGGCGCCGCCGCCCGGTCACGGCCCCACCCCGCCGCCGGCCGCGACCCGCTTTTGTCTGCGCTCGGCTCCCTCCTAACCCGCCGAGCGGCCGCGTCCCTCCGGCGGGGCCGGCCTGCGCCGCGCCCCCAGCCCCGGCAGCGCCCCGAGGCTGCCCGCAGCCGCTGCGGGGCCCGGAGCTCTCGCCCTCCCCGCCGCCCGGGCGCGGAGCTGGTCCGGGCCCCGCCGAGCGCGCCCGAGGCCACCCCGCCCGCGTCAGGGTCAGGCAAGAGCCTCCTGTGCCCTGGACATGGCACCGCGCAGCAGCCGCGGCTGCTTCCTTCTTGTAGGCCTTGAACGCCGAGCCCGGGAAGAGGAGAAAATGGTGCGAACAGCCTTGTCTGTCCCACCGCGAGGGTTCTTGTCACTACATAAATATAAGTCCAAACAACCCGCAACACTGTTAGACGTCTTGAAGACTCGAGGGTTGGACCTTTTCATCCCTGTCCTTTGACCACTTTTGGTTGCCCGTGCAAGTGTTTCTTTTCTGCTTGTCAGCTTCAGGGTTAGCAGGGTTAGATGCAATTCGGGAGTTTTGTGTTCTTATCTTTAAATGTCAGCTCAACCTGCTACCTCTTAAGCTTCCCTGTCCCGAAGAAAGTTTGCTTTCCTTTTTTTTTTTTTTTTTTAATATACATCGTTAGGTCTATGTAAGTTATGTTTAACCAGGCAAAAAATGTGTCTCTGAATTTATTAGAGAGACAATTAAACAAAATAAGAAGACCATAAATGGAAAGTATTGAATTTAATGCTCAAAAAAAAAAAATTAGAAAGGCATGTTTTGAAAAGGAGAAATTTTATTTCCCAAATGCTGTTAAATTCTCCTGTAATTTTGACTGTTAGTGATGTGCTCACTTGAGTAACAAAGGAAAAGAAGGCACAACAGAGATGTAGCAGTCTGCTTAATATTGTAGCACGTGAGATGGCTGAAGGCTAAGAATCCATCTAAAATGCTGAACTTTAATCAGTGGCTCATAAGTGCCTAGGAAGAATCGCTATGTTAATACAAACTTGATACGATGGTGTATAAGCTGGTAAACCTGTTTGAAGTGGTGAGCTGTGTGAATAGCTAACTGTGGTAGTGTTATACAGGTAAGATAAATGGAAGGAACGTTTCTGTAGAAGTACCGGGAGTGGGGTTCACATCACTTTAAACAGAAATGAGTGAAGTATTTTGGGAATGAGGAGATTTTGGTTTTTTTGTTTTGTTTGGTTGATTTTTTTTTTCCTTGAAAGATGAGACTGATGGTGATATTTAAAATTTAAAAAAAAGCAAACAGAAAATATATATAAACATAATATTAATAATAATTTTTTAAGAACCAGAACACAACAAAACAAAAAAAAATCCAGGATGGATTAGATTCTTTGGTTGCACTGTCTCTTCCATTATATGTGCTAACTTCTGTATTGATAAATACAGTTCCTCAGGCAGGACAGAAAGGTAAGAAGTTAACACGGGAATCCCAGTGGAGGTTAAGCTTTGTGAATTACTTTTAGGTATTTTTAAGAGGAATTTCTGTATTAGAAGGAAACATTGTAAAGATGCTGTTTTGTTTGTGGTGATGGATATTAGCAGTGAGATGTGAAGGCATCAGTATAACTGTACTTGGTAATACTTCAAAACAAATTACTGTTCATGTACCTGTACATAAAAGTTGTTTAGTGGTATGGCCCAAAAAGAAAGGGAAGTGCTGTGAAGTGTGAGATACGCCATTTCACTCATATTTCTTCAGGAGGGAACTTCCTCAATCTAAAGAAGTCTGACTTAAAAAGTGCTTATATGCAAAATGGGCTTTTGCTTGCATATTGCAATCCTGCGCAGAAAGATGAGGAAGTCGTAGAATGCGTGGCTACGGTAAAGGTTAAAAGGGTCAGGTAGTTGGATGGATTTAGATCATGGACAATGGTTTAGATGTTTTGCTAATACTGGTGAAAACTTAATGAAAACAAGCTAAACCCAGTGTAAATCCCAAGCTTGTTCCTGACATGGACTCCAGACTGAGTATCAGTCAGTGATCAATATAATACATTGCTTTCTGCTGTTGAATGTTCTGCATGCACTTGGTTATGACAGCCCTGTGTACTCCAGCATGGTGTAAGTAAACTGTTAGGTTTGGGTGAAGTTAATTAAAGTGGACCAGTAGTCATGAATCAATTGAACTCTCCTGATAAAAAGATTGGCAGACTGTCACAACTACTGACTTAACAGGATGTGAAGTGGATTCTGAGAAAACATGAAAAACAAAAGACCAAAATAGCTAACTGCTAATAAGACAGTGGTGGTACATGTATTTGTTTCAAAGTGTGCTGGGCTTAATTAAATAGGCCTTTAATAGTCCCTAAGTTGCACTTCTCACAATGACAGTTTTGAATTTTAAGAAAGGGACTGCATAACTGATAGAGCAGTTTCTTAAAAAGCTCTGCTAGCAAATATCCACTTGACATTTCTGCCCTGTGTTTTCTACAAAATATTGTATCCATTCTTTTATAGGCTGTGGAAAGTATATCTTGCTTCTTAGCAAGTTTTCAGCTGAAAAATGAAAAAGTGTCGCATTTTTCAGGTGAAAATTTTCAGGTGAAAAATGCAACACTTATTCCTCGGTAGTTAGCAAATGCATAATATGAAGTAAACTTGGCAATAAAACCCCTCTTTTTGGTTTGTTCTATTTAATAGCTTCACCAGTGAAATTGCCTGATTACTAAAGATTGAAAAGATTACATAAAGCCAGATTACCTTTTTTTTACCTCCTTTTATCTCCAGTACAGGATTTTCTGTAGAAGGGGCAATGAGTTTGGGTAAGAACCACTATTGCTGATGTTGCGTTCCCTCCCAAAATTCTGCTGTCCTGCTCTGGTCTTGCATCCCTTAGAACTTTGTCCACCAGGTACCAGCCTCTCCAGTGCTTGCTCTCAGGTTAATTGCACAGGCTTTAACTCTTTGCTTCCTGGTGGAAGTGACAACTCTGTTTCTTCATAAAATGAAACTTTGACGTATGGTGCTGCAGGCTGTTAAATAAGGCACCCCTGAAATAAATTTTAAGTTTCTAATGGAAAAAGAGTTTGTTTGGGTTTTTTTCCAAATCATTATTAAAAAGAAAGGAGAAGGTCTTCTGTGAAGTTGTGTGTGTTTCCAGAGATGAGGGCTTTCACTGGCAGTGATGGTAGATGTCAGCATGGTAAGTTGATATGGCTAGGTTAGCAGAAATTATTTCTAAGAGTATTTAAATAAAACTATTGTGTATGCATAGCAGTTACACTTTTGTGCTTACAGGTATTCACTACCACTTCTTTTCTAGACAGTACTGTAAATCTTTTAAACTTGGGACTTTTATTGTTGGTGTTACAGGATTTATTTTAAGAAAATTTTAGGTTCACTCAAAATTGTGCTTTCAAAACAATACTTGTTTAATAGGAGGGGAATAAAGAGCACATTGTTTGGGTTTATTTGCTTAAATGATTTTTTTGGTCAAGATAGAGAACTTGGGCTATGCCCTGAGGTAAATAAGCATGTAACAGATCTTTATTATTTCAAATGGAAGTATGAAGGACTCTGCCTGGAATTAACCTGTCAAACTCAGCCATAATACATATTTCTAATATCACAGAACAGTGCGAAAAAAAGTCTTTATTTCTATATTTGTCAGAATAAGGGGATTTTTTAATGAATATTTTGTTCCAATGCCATAGTCATCTAAGTTTTTAAGGTGCTGTACTTGGGGATCTTAAAGCATAAGTTTCATGACAGAATCATGTTTGAAGTCCCTTGGTAACTTTTTTTCCCCAATATTGATGAACAGTACCACAACTAAAATATAAACTGAAACATATGCAAATTATGATTAAATGATGGCACATTTGGTATAGTTTTTGGGTTTTTTTATTTTTCCATTTCATACCTGGGACAAGAATTTTCGTAAAGTGAATGTGGTTCAGTCTTTTGATAGTCTGCATGATACAAATTGGACAGTTGATTCTTGGATTATACGTCTGTGTTTTGTATATAAATGTATATGAAATTGGGCACTTGTACC